TTTTGTGAACCGAGAGCTACTTTTAAAGTTGCCAGTCTGCCGAGATCTACCAGTCCAAATAGAGAGGCGTAGCCATTACTGACAGCCTACTACCAGGTAAATACACACTTCTACTTGTATAAAACTGACCTTTGTACGATTAATACTTCATAAAATACTGCAGATCCTTTATCTTACCTCTTTCTAATCTACACACATACAAGTATTTAACTGAAGTTACACAACAGTGTTGTTGATACAGAGTTGGGAGTTTATTCACACGTCACATACTACAGTGGGTCATGTTTTCAAGAAACATTGAACAGTGCTGCCACATATGATACAGGAAAAAAAGAAAAGACTGAACCCTTTCTTTGCCATTATATAAAAATAGTGTTGCTACAAAAGTATAAATTAGGCTTACTAATAAGACAACTCAGATCTGAAGCTACACAGGAATCTGCTGCCAAAGTGCAATAAAAAAGACTAAATGAATAGAATCAAACCCTTTTTTTGTTGCATTTTAGTAGAGTATAAAAAGAAATGCCTTTAAAATAGGATGCAAGCAACACTAGTTTCTTAACCTGAATTGATAATAAACTATAATCAATTTAAACAGAACAGATCTTAATGTTTGCATTCTTAAACCATTTTGTACAATAATTATAATGAATAAGTTCAAACAAACTAAAACTTACAGCTGATTAATAACGGTATCTAACTTGAGTTTTTATCACAAACCTGTTGAAATGCTTCTGTTATTTTTACTGTCCCCAAAAAGCGCGTCGGCAGCCTCCAGGAATGCTTCTTTCACAACTTCGCCGTCTTTGAAAGACTTAATGTGTTTCGCAAGAACGTGACTGACACGATAAGATGCTATGGTAGCAGCCTTGCTCTTGTTGTTGGGCCTGGTGAAAATTGACTGCTGTGCATTTAGCTGTCCTTTCAGGTCCCTCACCTTTTGGGAGCGTAGGGCAGAATTAGGAGGGAATTCCGTCTCGTAGCGTTTGTGCACTGTTTTGAAATGCCGCTCCTAAATGACCCTTCTTCGATAAAGCCACGCTCGCATTGCAGATGAGACAGATGGACTTTGAATTGGAATAGATACAAAAATAATTAGGGATGCTCCGATCGCCAATTTTGGGGCCGATCGCCGGAATCAGTATCTGCCGATACCGATCGCCGATCCGATCGAGTGGGCGGGGCCTAAATGGAAGATTTAAACATCACTTTAAATCTTCCATTTAAAGTGATATTTAAAACTCAGTTAATGGGGCTCATTCACTGGAGCTTCCACAAACAACAATCAACTTAATTATTACATTCAAATTATGTATATTATTCAAGTTTACATTCACTTTGGAAAATACCACGGGAGAAATTAGCAAGCGCTCTCTTTTCCTCTCTCGCCCCCTCTCTCGCCCCCTCTCTCTCCCCCTCTCTCTCTCTCCTGACAGCCCGTCAGTATCGTCTCCTGCAGCTCACTGATCCAGTAATGTGTGAGGCCGACAGTGAAGAATAAACATATGTATAACTAGTTTAGCTTGTTCCAGAGTTAGATAAAATAGCTAAGTGTGTTAGGTCTAACTCTTGTGTGTTCTGCTCCGCTCACCGGTCCGTCACAGCGGGTGGAGCTGCAGGATTTCTGCTTCACACACACGTTGCATACCGCTATTTTACTGTCTTTTTCGGACACCTTAAAATAATGCCAGACCGGTGAAGCCATTTTGGCGAGCTTGTTTTGCCGCGTACAGAGAAAAGTGTCATGTATTTTACGTCATGCGATCGGCCCTCGCGATCGGCATGTTTAGAGAGCACCGATCGATCGGTAGAGAGTGAGTATCGGCAGATCTCGATCGGTGACTGATCGATCGGAGCATCCCTAAAAATAATCATCCTCCCACTCGGAGTGAAAATTATATATTTTGGGCTCTTTTGCTTCTGCCATAATTGCGGTCATGTGTGTGTGTGTGGACTGTCACTCCTGTTGACACGGACAACGTCAGCTAACTAGTGCCCACTGCCCACCAGCCACGCCCCGACACATGGGGTCACGCCGGCCAATCACAAAGCTTTGATGCGTTCAAGTGCATTATTCTGGCACAGGAAGATTATGTTATAGGACATTAACGATAAAACAGAATATTGTTGTTCTATTTTTAGACACATCTCGCGATCGACTGGGAATCTCCCCCTGATCTAAGGGAACATTCGTTCATTGTGTGTGGGTGTGTACCAAGATAAAAACGTTTTGGGAAGAGGTCAAATGTATGATAGAAGAGATTTGATCATTGCAGTTACTCATGGAGCCCAAGTTTTTTTGTTAGGGTGTTACCCAAAAGAACACAACATAAGGAAGAGAGAGCAAATCTTTTTTAATTTATGTCTGCTACCGGCAAAACGCATGATAGCATTTTCATGGACATTTTTTAACAGTCCAAGTATTGGCAAATGGCTAAAAGAACTGTCTGCATGTGTCTCATTAGAGAAAATAACCTATTCAATTAAAGGAAAACAAGAACTAAAGTAAAAAAAGTATGGGGCCCTTTCCTTAACTATCTGGAACATGCAGATCTAGAGAGTACTCTGGGTCAGCAAACTGGAGATGATTAATGTTCCTCTGCTGGGAGAAGGATAAAAGCCTTTCATATCTGCCTACATGTTTGTATATTTCCTTACTTACCTACCCACGTGTTTGTGAAGTGCATTTGATGTATTTATTTTATTTATGTGACTTGTAATGTATTTCATTTTGTTATGTATTGTGGATGTTTGTCTACTGTCTTAAATGTTGTCTATATATGCTAAAACAATAAAGAAAGTGTTTTTAAAAAAAGAAATTAACTATTATTTTGAAAATACAGCTTCCTGTGTTCGAATGAGCTGCTCAGACCCTCGGTCCTGACGGACTCCAAAAGTCCGACATTATACAATCAAACAAATAAATAAACACAAGGATAATTGTGTCTTATTGTTGAGTAAATAACAGTGTGTAGTTTAGAAAAGAATACAAAATTAGAAGGAAAAAACGATGAAACAATACAGATTTCAGTATTCTGAGCCCCTAATCTCCCCCTAACTGACGGCAACAAAAGTCCGACATTATACAATTTAAAATAAAGAAGTAAAAACAATAAGTGTGGCTTGATATTGAGTAAGAAAAAGGTTGATAACGCTGTGAGAATGGGTCTGCGGAGAGCATTTCTCCGCGATCCCAACTCGTCTATTACCAATGTTCAGGGAGGTCTATGCAAGTCAATGGGACTCCCTGGTAGTTGAAAATCGACGCTTTAGGGCCCCCACTGTGTTTGATAGTGACGCCAAGGGATCCTGACATAACGTCACGATAGGACGAGTTGGGAGTGAGAATGTGTTGCATTTATCCATCCTCAGGCCCCAGCCACCCCTTTTGCTGACCACGCCGTGCTCTGATGAAGTCAGAAGAGGGGGAGAAAAATAGATCTCCGTCCTCCGTGTTTTATTATATGATTATATAGAGTCGTTATTAATTTGTTTTAAAGCTCAATAAATAACAAAGAAGACCTTTGACCGGCACTTTTCTAATTTTGTCCGGAAGATTTAAACTTTAACAGACATCTTGACCGGCGAAAGAAAATCTAACTGAAACTCTGCCGCACGGTCCCCTCGTTCCTTGGAAGAGGCGGAGAGGTGGGTGTTTGTCATCTGCTGGTGGACTAACCGGAGAGAATTACAGTGCTTGCCTCGACGGGGAGGGATTGCATTGAATTAATGCAGCAGAAGGAGCAAACGCTTGCCTCGGGGAGGGAGAAAAAAAGCCACAGCGGAGAATAAACAGAAGGGTAACCATAGCAACCATGCGTGGGAAGTCTTCTTCACTGCTTTTGTGGGAGACTACAGCGCCACTTACAGGCCTGGCATATGTACTACAGCGTCTCCAGCGCTTTCGAGCGGCAATGGCCGGCCGTGGCCCAACCCCACATTCCCCTGATAGGTGGAGAGTTGGCCCAATAGCCGTAGCGCCACTTCTGTGACGTCAGTGAAGTGTTCAAATCTGGATCAGTTTTTATCAGATCCGTTGCAGCCCCTTTTTTAGAGATTTGGGTATGGAGGACAATAGAGAGGGTTGTGTTTTCTGACACTTGGTGAGTTCCCTGGAACACCGGGGACACATATTCATGTATAAAAGACGTACAAAAGTGCATTTTGCATGATAGGTCCCCTTTAAGCTTGTGTTAACCACAGACTTTATTTCAAGCATATGACCACAAACATGTTCAACAAACAATTGACTTTGCGATGTGGGAACCGGAATGGTCAAATGTATTTCCGTGTTTTAGGACTCATTCCTGCACCACTCTGTGAGCTGTACCATGGAGTTTGTTTTCATTAAGCAGATTACATTTTGTTGGATTTCATATTGTTGTTTGAAGTGAGGTGGTTAAATAAGGTCTCTTAAATACTTTATAGTTGTCCAAACAATATAAATGAAGGGGGGTTATTTTATGTAATGTTAGAACCTTGGATGAAATAAAATGGTTTATATTATTACTGTATAATAAGGACAAAAGACAAAAAAAGATTGGTTGTTTATGATGATGAATATTGCTCCGTTTCATTTACTGGAAGCTCTAACCCACTGTTTTCCCCTTCTGGACATTTTAGAATTGTGTAAAGTTCAAAATCTTTCTCACACACTATCTTACGTAACGGCTCCACGGATTGGTCCATTTCGTTCCGGGTACGGCTTGACATCATGCCGTACCCGGAACTAAATGGAAGAATCAAATGGACAGTGACGCATCTCCAACGAGGCGTTTTGGGGGAGGTATTTTCTGTGTTAGAGTTGTACTCCCTACAGGGTGTACTTTGAGGGTTTTGACTCTGCACACCGTTTACATGCATAAAAACCTTCATAACACACAAGGGGACGGGTAATAACCGGAAAAGCATGACATGGGCCCTTTAATAAAGTAATTTTAGCAGTTCTAAAGTTTCAACAGTTTTAACCATGAATCCATGTTTCCTGACTCCACCTGTAGGCCTGCTGCGATTGGAGGAGCTGGTCCACCGCTTCCTCATCTCCAGGGAGACGCTGTCAGTGCGAATGCTGGACGACAGCCTGGACCCCACCCCCCTGCTGAAGGAGATCCGTGATGACAAAGTGGCCACCATCATCATCGACGCCAACGCCTCCATCTCCTACCACATCCTCAGAAAGGTGGGGCCTCAAAGGCTCGCCGTTATTACGTTTTAAAGTAGTAGCTTATTAGGTACAATTGTGCTTGTTGGTATGACTGGAGCAAAAGGTGATAGATTTGTTCATGGCCATTGAGAAACCAAAAGGTTGAATTAAGTTATGGATGTCACTACATCAGTAGGTAACAACAACATGTTATGTCTGTGTCACATGTTATGACATCACTAGGCCTGTCAACATTAACAATGGTTGGCTGACAACAACTAACGCTATTTATTTATAATACCAAGTTTGACCCCAACTCCCTCCCGTATTTCCAGCACAAATGTTTACCATGAATTGTATAGCAGTGAGAAGAAAGCAAATGGAGACCACTGGACATTAGTAAGCAGTAACCTCAGTGTAACAGCACCCCTGATCCATGACAAAGACTGCACTCGTTAGCTTTAAATGTTGTAAGAATGGAGAAAAGGCATTTTGATGAAGCATGTGCCAGTTTCCTGAAGTCTGGAAAACAGATAGAGCTGCAGTATGATAGCAGCAGAGAGAATATGCCCTGTGTCGCACACATTACACAGAGGGCGATCACAGAGGAGGAGCAATTAATCATGGTTAATCACAGTTTCTTTTTTTTTATTAATGCAATTCCATTTTTACAGCAGTGGTTATAATGATGGTAGCCTTCACAGCCTTCACAGCTGTTCATTGGAACGGTCACCTGTTTATCTTTTCCTTAACTGTGACCACGTTGTTTTGTCTCAAGTAAACTGAGTAAACCAAGTAGTGTTGTTTCTAATGTTTAATTGTACGGTCACATGATTTACATCTATTGAAATAGAAAGGTGGTTTGTAAAGGTTTATGAGTCTGACTCAACCTGTTCAGTCGTTATGGTGACAGGACGTTTTGGTTTTATTGAACTTCCCTAGCTAACTGTAGAAACTGTCTCTACCAAGCCTGCATTCCACTTATAGTTTGAAGATCTCTCTGTTATTATTAAGGCTGTGACTGCTCACTGCTAGTGCAACATGAATACTTGTGTATACTGTATATTATAAATATGTTCATAATATTGGTCATTCTGCATAAAAAACAGCAGTCTTTCATCCAGGAGCCGCTGTTAATGTCCCATGTTATACCAGAGTTGAATTATTGTCACGTAACTTCCATACCTTAATTACACCACTTATTTAGTTATTTTTAAGCTAAACCACAACCTTTTCCTGAACATATCAGAATCAGAAATACTTTATCCTACGGGGGAAGTTGTTTTTTGTGACAGTTGTTCAATTTAAGAATCAATAACATTGAACATTGAGTCTTCCTCCAATTTATTGACTGAGAAGATGGAAGTAAATTGTTTTAATGCATGCAGCGAGTCACGTGCTGCTAGACAATTTTAGAATAGAGGATACTGGGTCACATATAGCCACATAAACTCACAACGATGATGATGTCTACATGTCTTTTTTTGACAGATTTAACCCAGAAGACCTCACACATTAAACAAACTAAGTCTCTTTCATTAACAGTCTCTTTCTGAACAGTTTTTCTCCACTGACAGATCCTGTATTTGTACTGTGAGGCATTATCAGTGCTTCATATTATTAAAGAATCAGGGAGCTCCGTACCACGCTGTCAGAGTAAAGGTTCAGTGAGCCGGGTTGGAATATGAGACAGATGGGTTTCTTTACTGTGAGTTTCTTCAGATAGGTTAAATATTGTGTTCCTCAGCGCTGACACTATTCTTTCTTCTTTTCCCGCTCTGCGAACCTGCAGGCGAACGAGCTGGGGATGACGTCAGCCTTCTACAAGTACATCCTCACCACCATGGTAAGAGCTCTGTTCATCCATCATGTAGCACTTGTCCTCCATTAAAGGTCAGATATTATGCATAAAGCACTTGTTCGTGGCTTTTAAATATGAATGTGTGCACGTTGTGTAGTGAGCAAATTAGATCTGTTTCACGTCTTCACAATCACCATGATATTACTCTTTTTTTTCTTCCTTATCCTAATATTACAATTTTTTGTATGTACTGTACTTAACTCATCTTTTGACACCTTCAAGGCTGTTGTGAAGGCTGAATCAGGTTTGAATTCACTGTTTTGATATTGAATCTGGTTTTGAGTCACTTTAATGAAACTGAATCAGGCTTTAACTCACTTTAGTTATACTGAATTCGTTTTTGTCTCACTGTTTTGACACTTAATCAGTTTTTGTCTCACTGTAATAACACTGACTCAAGTTTTGGCTAACTTTAATTATATGAATCAGGTTTTGACTCACTTAATATTGAGTCAAGATTTGAGTTGCTTGCAATGATATTGAATCAGGTTTGATCACATCCTGAAACTATTTCTCCTCCTCACTCACTTCCGCCTGCACACAGCAGACTTCCCTCTTCATCAGACATGCAAGCTGCTTTCTGATCATTATCATTTCAACGTCTGCTGTCGTGCCCTTGTCGTGAAAAAGACCTGGAATGGATAATAACTTGTCTCGAACTCGAAACATATAAGTGCCACATCATTTAATGGCACTGTTCGCAAGGGCACTCCACACTGTGCCTGCAGACCAAGGGCAGAGTGAGGGTCTGCCCCCCCCAGCAGAACCCTGGTTATGGACCAAAATGAAAATGACTCCCCCAACTTAAAGACCTCCGGAGCATATTCACCTGCAGCAGTGTCTGCGACCTACCACTCACTTTGTATTAAACACGCTCTGCTGACGGACTGGAGGGGGACGTTTGGCTGAGAGACGTATAAATGTAGAAAGGATTTGAAAACAGCAGGCAGGAAACAGAGACATGTCAAATATCTTTGGCTTTCCTCTAAACAAGAACCCACTAATTGTATTACTTTGGAAAACAGGCTTAGATTCCTACTTATTTCTGGTACTAAGAATAGCAATTATTAAAGAAATTACAAGGAATTGATAAACAGATAATAACTCAAAATGGAAGAATCTAGTAAATGAAATTCATTGAATGGAGAATCAGTAACCAAGTTCATATCTTTGATGAAAGATGGGAAGGATAAAACATAAAACACTTACAATGACGTGGTAAGAAGGGACAATTAATGTACGTATGAGTATTAATGTCGTGTCCATTATGTGAAAGCTAAACATTACCTAAACCTTATAAGTTATTATCAATTTGTATTTTCTCCCCTTTTTCTGATTTGTGGACTGTTATGTAGTTATTTTATTCATCTAAGTGTTTGTTTTGTTTTGTATGCCTTGTAATCAAATTATTTCCTAAAAATGCAAATACTTTTTTTTAAACAATACAGACAAGAGACAACATACTAAAGTAGACGAATAGGTTAAAAAAAAGAAGGTCATTCATCAAGCCTGATATGGCATTTAAGTCATTTAAATAACAAAGTGTTACATTGGCAGTAAATGATCCTGGGCTCCAGGTTTTACAGCTCGTCTCTGGTTCCGTTTCAGCGCTCTCAGCAGCAGCAGCTGAGCTGAGGCAGAAAATGAATGAGAATGTGGCTTCCAAGTAAGACCATAAGCCGTGTGTAATGAGGGTCAAAGCAAACATTAGATTAAGTTCATTAAATGTCATCTAATTAACTTCAGGATCACACATTTCCTCCAGACTGCTGCCATCTGGACCTTCTTTATTTATTTGGTACCGTGTGCCGGTCTGTTTATCAGTTGGCGCATTTATGGTCCAGATTAAAATATCTTGATTTTACATCCAGCGCCATAATCAGAACACAATGTGTCCAATACTTATGTTTATGAGCTGTACCTGCAACTTAAGACCTTCCCATCAGCCTCAACTGTATCGCCTGTTAATGCTGAATGCTAAACCTAAACTGTAACAATTGGTAACCTCCGGAAAATGTGAATGTTACCATTTAGTTAAATGTAAGTTAAAAAGTTTTTGGCATATCTGTATACTCGCTACACTAGGCGGGGTCACTTACTGTAGAATCACATCCTTAGACTGTATATAGGTGGATGTTGTTACCTTTATGTGATTGGTTGATGACCAATTTTAAGCTTAAAGACGTCATATTCTGCTCATTTTCAAGTTCATATCAGTATGTAGTGTCTCTACTGGGACATGTCTCCATGCTTTAATGTTCAAAAAGCTCTTTATTTTTCTCATACTGCAGCACCTCTTTTCACCCTCTGTCTGAAACCAGAGCCCAGTCTGCTCTGATTGGTTAGCTGGCCGGCTCTGTTGTGATTGGTCAACCACTTAGTTTGTGGAAGAGAGAACACAGGGATTTTAGCCTTTGCAGACCATTTACATGCATAAAAACCTATAGAACACACTATAGGAGAGGGAACACCCCAAAACACTTTTTTCAGATTGTTATTCCACTGTCAACATCCTGGATTTATGAATCCAGAAGTGTCACAAGAGCGTAGAGATCAACGGAAGGCAGAACAAGATACTTTTAGGTGCATCACATTTCACCAAACACTGTTATGAAGTGACAACTCACAATAAAAGGAATAAAGTAAGAGGAGACTGCAGAACCCAAATCTGTGATAGCAAACTGTCGATCAGAAGGGAGCCAAACCTTAAAGAATATGCTGTTTTATGGTCTATTAAAATTCAATTAATGAGTTCAAGCACTTCATTGATTTAACTTTTTAGAGCTGGTTGCCATTTGATCACATGTTTTTAGACCTTAAGAACACAATGTTCACGCCTGACAGACAGAAGCAGTCAAGGTTAGACTGACATCAATGTGTTACCCTTAGGCAAAGGCAGACGTGAAACAAACATAGGAAAGAAGTGTACTAACCCTAACCCCAGGGGCGTTTCCTGGACCTGGAAACATTAGGGGCTTAGTCCACATGGCAACGCCAGAGATCTTCTTTTGGGGGTGCTGTGGGGTAGCTTGACGTTTCATAGAGGGTGCTCAAACATGTAGGTTTCCCATTAATGTACATTACATTGCATTTAGCTGACGCTTTTATCCAAAGCGACTTACAATAAGTGCATTCGACCAAGAAGATATAAACTTGAAGAAAACAGAATCATATAAGTACATTAGGTTTCATAGAGCCAAAACATTTCAAGTGCTACTCAACAGGCTTTAGATAAACCAGTCCTTTGTTAGTATATAAGTCCTTTGTTAGTATATAAGTGCTCTGTTTGTATCTAATTGCTTCTTATTTTGTTTGTTTTGTTTTTTGTTTTTCATTGTATTGCTCGAAGTGGAGTCGAAAGAGATGAGTCTTCAGTCTGCGCCGGAAGATGTGTAAGCTTTCTGCTGTCCTGATGTCAATGGGGAGCTCATTCCACCATGTTGGAGCCAGGATAGCAAACCCACGTGTTTTTGCTGATGGGAACTTGGGTCCCCCTCGCAGTGCGGGTGCAGCGAGCCGTTTGGCTGATGCAGAGCGGAGTGCACGTGCTGGGGTGTATGGTTTAACCATGTCCTGGATGTAGGAAGGGCCAGATCCATTCACAGCATGGTACGCAAGTATCATTGTCTTGAAGTGGATTCTAGCAGTTACTGGAAGCCAGTGAAGTGAGCGGAGGAGCGGTGTGGTGTGGGAACATTTAGGAAGGTTGAAGACCAGACGAGCCGCTGCATTCTGGATGAGCTGCAGAGGTCGGATGGCACATGCAGGTAGACTAGCCAGGAGGGAGTTGCAGTAGTCTAGGCGTGAGATGACGAGAGCCTGGACCAGAATCTGAGTCGCTTTCTGGGTCAGGTGGGGACGTATCCTCCTTATGTTGTAAAGCGTGTATCTGCAGCAGCGGGTTGTGGCAGCGATGTTTGCAGTGAAGGACAGTTTGTTATCTAGGGTCACACCCAGATTCCTTGCAGTCTGAGTCGGGGAAACAACAGAGGGGCCGATGTTGATTGTTAGGTCAAGAGTGGGACAGTCTTTTCCCGGAAGGAAAAGCAGTTCAGTCTTGTCAAGGTTGAGCTTGAGGTGGTGAGCAGACATCCACTGAGAGATGTCTGCAAGACAAGCAGAGATGCGTGCGACGACCTGGGTCTCTGAGCGGGGAAAGGACAGAATGAATTGGGTGTCGTCAGCGTAGCAGTGGTATGAAAAACCATGCAGGCTAATGACAGATCCAAGCGAGTTTGTGTACAAGGAGAAGAGGAGGGGACCGAGGACAGAGCCCTGATGGACCCCTGTAGATAATTGACAAGGGTCGGACTCGGACCCTCTCCAAGTTACCCTGTAGGTGCGGTCTTTGAGGTATGAGGTGAGGAGGGAAAGTGCAGAGCCTGAAACTCCAAGTTCTTGGAGAGTGCGAAGGAGGATCTGATGATTCACCGTGTCGAATGCAGCAGACAGGTCCAAAAGGATGATGACAGAGGAGAGGGAGGCTGCTTTAGCAGTGTGCAGTTCCTCAGAGACAGCAAGGAGGGCAGTTTCTGTGGAGTGACCTGCCTTGAAACCAGACTGGTTCGGATCCAGAAGGTTACCGGGTGCGACAGTGGAATTTTTTACTGCAACACTCCCCACACGCACACGCACATACACAGTACACCCGCAACTGTTACAATGAAGGCTCGATAATCAGCTCACGGCATATAGGTGTAAGCAGGGGTAAAGTGCTATTTTTTACAAGTTGGGGGTGGACCTAACTTCCTCTAGGGGGGTCCCGGGGCATGCTCCCCCGGGAAGATTTTTTTTTTAATATTGAAGTTAAAAGCATCAATCTGGTGCACTTTGAGAGCAAAATGAAGAGATCTATGGATACCTCTCTCAACACCCATTTGAAACAGAACTGTAAGCAGATTTTCTTTTTCTTTTTCTTTATGGATATTTTACAAATCACTCACCTTAACCCTATTCTTGTTTTACAGTCATGTAGTATTTCGTAACTGTTTTTCATTTATCCTCTTGTTTTTTTTATAACTATAATGATCATATGAAGGTGTGCGTCGAAATAATCTTTTACATAATTTGTGACCAAACCGTTTGAGACCCACTGAGATAACTTAGACTAAAGTTAACTATCTAAACACTCAGAGAGTCCTTTAGCTCACCTGAGTCTCTCAGTCTGAGAGGAGAGGACTCTCCTCCAGCTTGTTGTGGAACAAACAGCTCCTTATGTCCGTTAGTGCAGCTAGCTAACCAGATGCTAACAACATGGTCCCTGCTGGCACCGGTGTGCTCTCTCTCTCTCTCTCTGGCTCAATCAGTGGGGCAGTGAAATGTTCCAGTCGGAGTAGAAGAAGCCAGGACTCTCTAAAGTCTGTGAGTCACTCGTATTGACTAGTAATCAATCAAAGCGGTGCAGAGATATGATAGTCCTGCTCTGCTGGATGAGGCAGGGAAGAGTCTAAATCTTACTTATTGCTCTTTCAAACTCTCACAAATCTGAGACAGAGATGGTCACATGCTTTTTTTTGACAGCTCTGACCTTGTCCAGCCTCCTGGGCCTGCTGAAGAGTTTGATGAGACGTCCTGTCTGAACTGCAGTCACTGCCTCGCTGGCTGTCCTTCTGGATCCTGTCGCAGTGTTTCCTCTCAACAGTGTTGCCGCAGAGACTTCTCCAGCCAACTGCTCTTTGTCATGGCTGGCAGGCCCACAGTCTGACTGTGTTCTTGGCTGTAGCTGAAATTGATTTGGCAAATGGCAACCAGACGGGCAGCGACATCAACAAAAGCAGCAGCAGCAGCCGCTTCCTGACTGGGGAGTAGTTAAGTAAATGTTGGAGGGATTTGGGCAAAATAAATTAACCTCACACAGTGAAGCTGAGGAGGCAGAGCGGCGTCCACCGGGCTGAGGGGGGACTATGTTGCAAAATACTGAACCCCATGCCAGGTCACAATGACATGGCCAGAAGAGTGTGAGTGTGTATCACTTTGAATAACTAGTTTGCACCTTGTATGGTGGCTCTGCCTCTGTATGAGATTCTGAGTTGTGCTGTAAAAGCTTTGAGTGGTCGTAAAGGCGAGAATAGCGCTATATAAGAGCCGTCCATTTAGTAGTTGTGCTGAACAGCTCAACACATTATATTTCCTGGATGTCTGTTGGAAGCTTATTGTTTTGGACCATGTTGTTGAAAAAATAACTCCCCTCCACTACCCTCAACAGTAAAGATGCTGTGCCAGTGCCAACATATTTTTAACTGCGCTGAAGAGTCCGCTAAATGATGATGACACTATGTCTGTCCATAGTGAGGCATGTCCAAAAACGACATGTTCTTTTCCAGATCAAGCAGCAGCAACTTATACTCCCCTGATGGCGCTACATTTTCCATGTATGCCACACAGAACATTTGGATGTATTATATGTCAGGAACAGCAAAGGGTTCAGAGGTGGAGCGGTCGTCCACCAAGGGGAGGGTCAGTGGTTCAACCCCCAGCTCCTGAACTTGAAATGTTGAAGTTTCCTTGAGTAAGATACTTCCCACTTAACTGCTCCTGATGGCCATCAGTGTGTGAGTGTGTGTGAATGTTTCCTTTCTGAGCAGGTGCACCTTATATGGCAGCATGTATGACTGGTGGATGGGTGAATTCTGAATTTAATTGTGGGTGTGCTCGTGAACTGTTAGTTCCCCGGAGCCTCGCAGCCGGGTAACTGCGGAGCGCATAATTTGTGCATTTGATTAATTGCCCCGCATTTGCGCATTAGATGAGGCCCCCTCCGCAAGATGAGGCCCCATGCAGTCTGCGTGATCTGCGTGTAGGGAGGGGCGGGCCTGCCTGCATGGACTAAACCCCAAATGCTCCCAAAGGCAAATCCATAGGTTTGCCTTTCTGTGAATAAGCATTGGAATAGATGATGAGCAGTTTGAATGGCAGCCCCGCCCTCAGTGTGTGATTGTGTGTGTATGAATGGTGTTAGAATGTGATGTAAAAGCACCTGTCTATAACTATTTACTAAATGTGAACAATTTGGTCATCAATCTTCTTTTGGGGTTTTCCCTTTCCTGTGTATGTTCTTTAGGTTTTGTGCATGTAAATGGTCTACAAAGGCTAAAATCCCAATTGAACTTATATGAATGGCTCCGTGGTGGATATGTATGTCGCAGCACCTGCTTCTCTACACAGTTGAAGCTGAATGTTTCATTGACAGCATATGTTGCACAAACCCTCAAAGGGCCGAGCAGCACTTTGATTCTGATTTGTTTCAACAGCAGAGCTCAGCGTGCACCCACTAAATATTTGAAGTCTGCAGTCCATCTTTTTTTTAAAACCTTTTTCTCTTGCAGTAATCCTGCTCTGAATTTAAAAAATAACATTGTGCTGGCTACAAAAGCAAACCCCAATCAAGCCTTTTGTTGTTTTCTGTCTTCATGTTCCTTGGTCTTTTCTTTCATCCTTCACCTTTCTGAGACGTCCTTCTCCCTGTGATCTCAAAGGGTTACGGTATCTCAAAACTCCAAATTGCACACATGAAAAATATAAAACAGACTGAAGTTGCAGCTCATTGTTCCTCTCCTGTTTCCTCTCTGTCCTCAGGACTTCCCTCTGCTGCGGCTGGATGACGTGGTGAACGACCAGTCCAACATCCTGGGCTTCTCCATGCTGAACAGCACTCACCCTTTCTACCTGGAGTTCATCCGCAGCCTCAACCTCTCCTGGAGGGAAGGCTGCACCCTCAGCCCCTACCCCGGCCCCTCGGTGAGGGATTACAATGGACATTTAAATTCAAGATTCAAATATTGTCATATGCAGAGTAGCTACAGTGTAGTTATGGCAATGAAAACCCTAAGTGCCATGTTGCAAGTTACCAATGTGCCGGTAAATGCGTAAGAAGTAAACTATATATACATGTAATCTAAAAGTAAATGCTGTAAAGGAATACAGTTTATTATATATTAAATGAATATGTGAAATGCAAACGAATGAGTGCTTAAAGTTATAAAGGCACTTCAGTGCTCAGGAGTTTAGCAGTCTTATAGCCTGTGGGACAGAAGTGTCCCTGAGTCCGGTGCACGGTTACACAGAGAGAGGTAGACCTTTAGGTTTACTGTTGGATGAAATACCAAACATGACAGCTGCTGGGGTTTGCGAAATATTCCTAAAACTTTTATTTCAAACCTTAAGAACTTTTATAATTTTTTTGTTGTGGTTAGATGCCTGAAATAAGGTTTTTGGTTAACACAAGCAGAAGAGATTTTAAAGTCTTGTTCCACAACATAAAACATGTCAGTAAATACCCACTGGTGAATGTCTGAAGCTGCATTCACATGATACGTGATTTGCTCTCTGCGAGACCGTGAGGCTAGGCCTTTCAGTGAAAACAGCTTGATAGGTTTTGTTTCTATATTAGCTCATCTGCTAGCTTGCGCCGCTACACATAGCTGTTATCTGATTGATTGGTTGAGTGTTGAAAGGTAACTAGGTCAAAGTTGAAATAGTTGGAACTTTCAGCGTAGCTGTCGGGTAGCGCTTTCTCCTAATCGGCCCCACTCTCTCCATAGAAAAACAACTGCAATGCGAGCAGAAGGCCCTTTCACCGCTTTTACAGCATTAAGCTTCTATGTGTCTTAAAAACAGTGAATCCTAACAAATGACTACCTAACGCAACCCAGTCTCACGGCATTTCGTGTTATAGTCACGACATTTGATCTATTGATTCGTGTTCACCAACACGATTTTCACCTTTTTTTCGTGTCACACAGAACGCAATGTATTTCTATTGGTAGTATGTTTCGTGCCTGCAACACGTCTTTTTGTCCGGTCGGGTCTTGGAAGACCGGAAGCTGTGGGGTTCATAAAAACATGTTCTTACTCAATATCAAGCCACGGTCTATTTTGTTATTCTTTTCTAAATAACACACTGTTATTTACTCAACAATAACACACAATTATCCATGTTTTTATTTATTTGTTTAATTCCATAATCTCTGGCTTTTTTGGCGTCCGTCAGGAACTGAATTTCAAAATAAAAATAACCGGAAACAGACGTAGGCCTATATGGGACATTTCGAGCATCATTGCGATACACAGCCACTGAACTGATTACCCAAGATCCTCAGCTATGGTTTAAGCTCGGTGATTGGATGTTTTAGCCGCAATGCACGTTGGGATATGGTGTTAGTGCGATATGAAATCCGAATAACATTTCGGAGTTTAGGATGGCAGAAGACACTACACTACCCATAATCCTCAGCTATCGTTTGGGACTACAGTCCCCGTGATTAATCTTCAAGCTCTGGGATTGGATGTTGGAGTGGCAGTGCGCCAAGGTTACGCCGAGCGTCAAACAGCTCTTTGAAATGGAACGAAACCATGGCAGACTATCCAAAACTGGACTCGAACGGGACCAGCAGATTCTGATTAATGACGTGAAATATAAACAACCCTTAAATCAGGCTTTAGTTACACCTGAGTAAAATTCAGGGAAGGTGATTGTCAAGTGCCAACAATCAGGAGAGATATTTGATAGTTGGTGCTTGAGAAGACTAAACATTTATCTGCAGATCTCTATAAAGTATATTCATTACTCGTTATTCTCTACTAATAGTTAATTAAAGACTGTATATAATGGCTATTTTGCACATCTCTTTCAAAACTTTCTAAGGTTTATTGACATATCATATACACAACTACGGTGTACTGTAGTTATGCAATGAATGAAAAACTTGGGTCGCAGGTTCCTCAACAGTGCATTACAAGACATCTATCAATATGTGTGTATACCTCCACCATTAAACTGTCATATTCTGCACATTTCTTATACTATCTACATACATAAGAGTATAATTAATATGTATAATATCAGTTAAAATAAGTGCTTCAACATAGTTAACATTGCAGGAAAGCAATATATTAGACGTTAAGTACTTTGTCAGGCTTAATATTTATCTGTAGATACCCCCAAAGCTTTTTTCTTATTTAAAAGAAGACCTTAATCTAAAGTATTATTTGATGTTTAAATAAAGGTTAATTAGTTTGTCTGTTTTGCACATCCTCCTATTAATATCTTTGTATATCCGGCACTAAACTGTTTTATTGTAGAGATCACTTACAGTATCTTCTTGATTTTTTATATTCTATATTTCTATCATTGACCTTCTACTTTCCCCATATGAAAGTATGTACTCTTAATATTTTTTTCATCAAATATAACACATTAAAACAATAATTCAATAACGTGCTTTAACCACTAGGCGGTGCACACAAGGTACACACAGCCATAATAACTTTGTATTATTAATGTAGGACACTTATGTATGTATAACATCTGAAGATGTGTAGTTTTATTCATGTTTTCACATAATTGTACAGGATATTGCTATACTATTTCACATGTTTTACTTCTACACATTAATATCTGATTTGTAAAACAGACAGAAATCTATATCCGTCATTTAATGGTAAGCTATTGAAATTGTGATTCCATAGATGTGTCTCCCATCACCCAAAACCCCTGACTATTCTCTCAACTCAGTATTTACATTCTTATATTCAAAGAAAATCAGTAATATCTTTAAAAACTACAAGTCCCTTTCTATCAGCTGTGCACCGTTATGGTGTAAATAGAACCTATCTACCAATTGGATCAAATATAAAAGTCAGCCGAATTAGTATTGATACTGCAAGGAGACGTATTGTGTGAAAATAAATTGAAGATGTTGTTTAATTGCTGATATATTTATGATCCATTATGTGATGACTTTCAAAGAGAAAAGCAATTACACTCGGAATAAAGTATTTTATTTTTTTTTAAATGTTTTTCGGATTTCATATCGCATAAACACCATATCCCAACGTGCATTGCGGCTAAACAATCCAATCACCGAGCTTAAACCGTAGCTGAGGATCTTGGGTAATCAGTTCAGTGGCTGTGTATCTGTTTCTGGTTATTTTATTTTGAAATTGAGTTCCTGACGGACGCTAAAAAAGCCAGAGATTATGGAATAAATAAATAAAAACAAGGATAATTGTGTGTTATTGTTGAGTAAATAACAGTGTGTTATTTAGAAAAGAATAACAAATTAGAAGGAAAAAAAGATTATAAAAAATACAGATTTCAGTATCCTGAGGCTCTAAGCCACATTTATTTTCCTCGCGGACGGCAAAAAAAGTCCGACATTATACGATTTAAAATAAACATTTAAAAACAATAATCGTGGCTTGATATTGAGTAAGAACCATAGACTGTATAAAGAACATGTTTTTATGAACCACACAGCTTCCGGTCTTCCAATACCCGACCGGACAAAAAGACGTGTTGCAGGCACGAAACATACTACCAATACATTGCTTTTAAAATCGTTCTGTGTGACATGAAAAAAAGGTGAAAATCGTGTTGGTGAACACGAATCAATAGATTAAATAATAATAATAATAATGCATTACATTTTTTATTAGAGCGCTTTTACAGGTGCTCAAAGCGCTTTACAATTACACATATTAGACATGTAAGAGTCATTACTGTGGACATTACCCACAGGAGCAAATGTGGGTAGTGTCTTGCCCAAGGACACAACGGCCTGACGCAGTAGCGGCCGAGGCGGGTTTCGAACTGGAGTTCACCAACGCCCCTTGATCTGATGACTATAACACGAAATGCCGTGAGACTGGGTTGCCTAACGCCATGACGCCGACAAGAGACAGACTTTAGCTTAGCGGTGGTGATGCGCAGCAACGTTAGCTTTATACTTCTGGTGTTGCATTTACAGTTCAAAAATCACAACGCAGTGTTAATATGTGGAGATTATCCTGCTGAGCAAACCGTGTCAAGGACCCTAAACATGTGTTTGCCACAGAGCTTATTTTCTGCAATATTCTGAAATCAAATGGAAAAATCCCATTGTTTTTTTGTCGGAGTAGTCGTTTGGATGCTGACAACCTGGTCCGCCTACATACATACCTCATCACTGCACCGCTCCATTGTAGAAATGCTTTCTATCTTTCCCTCCTCCTCTGTTGTTTATTGCTCTCCGTATGTTTCTCCTCCTCCGTAATGAAACACCCATCAGAACAGATCAATCTTCTCTGAGCCGCGTGTCTCACTCTCTGATATCATCACGCTGAGCCCAACACTTTAATAAAGATAATGGTAATGACAATAGTGTTTGTCTCTGGGGTTTATCATTCATGTTTAATCACTTCAGCTACTTGATAGGGCTGCATAAGACCCATTAGCATGGCTGTTTTCATTGTAAAGTACTTTATTATTATGATGATCAATCATTTCTTAATGATCAGATAAAAAGTATTTGTGCAGCACATAAGGTGGTGGTAAAAGTTGGTGGGTCCAACAAGCATTAATTCCTGCAATATTTAACATACCATAGACTAGAGCAGGGGTGCCCAACCTTTTTTGAACCGAGAGCTACTTTTAAAGTTGCCAGTCTGCCGAGATCTACCAGTCCAAATAGAGAGGCGTAGCCATTACTGACAGCCTACTACCAGGTAAATACACACTTCTACTTGTATAAAACTGACCTTTGTACGATTAATACTTCATAAAATACTGCAGATCCTTTATCTTACCTCTTTCTAATCTACACACATACAAGTATTTAACTGAAGTTACACAACAGTGTTGTTGATACAGAGTTGGAGTTTATTCACACGTCACATACTACAGTGGGTAATGTTTTCAAGAAACATTGAACAGTGCTGCCACATATGACACAGGAAAAAAAGAAAAGACTCTGAACCCT